AGACAATTTTCTTCCCGTTTGGCCCACATAGTTCTTATCACAATTTTTACACAGTATCTTGTAAATGAGGTTCCGGCGTTCGTGTGTACTCGTCTTCCCTTTCGGTCTAGATAGGGTTCCTTTCAGCGTGTTGGTGGGTATGTGAGCCATTAACAGATGGTGTGGCTTGAGGAGTCTAGAAAGCGATCTAACAGTACAAATGACAAATAAAATTAATAAGACCTTAAAAAGACTTCAGGATTCAATGCAACTCACAAAGGAGGAACACAAAAGGATGAAAGCTCGTGACTCAAACATCGCCCGATTCTACGGACTCCCGAAGGTGCACAAAGCTGGTGTACCACTTCGGCCAATCGTGTCACTCCCTGGTACGCCCACCTACAACTTAGCTAAAGAATTATGGAGGCGCCTTAAACATCTGATTAGTGGCTCGCGGTATTCCATAAACAACGCGCAGCAGTTTTTGGAGAAACTCAAAGGGCTGCGGATTGATGATGAAGAAATGATGGTGTCCTTCGACGTTAATGCACTGTTCACTTCTGTCAACTTAGAAGTGGCGAAAGAAAACATCAGAGAACGCCTGAATGTTGGCGAAGGAGCAATTGGTAATCTGACGACTGATAGTATATGCGAGCTTCTTGACTTATGTCTTACGACCTACTTTAACTTCGACGGAGCACTGTATGAACAAGTGAAAGGAGCCCCAATGGGATCACCAATATCTGGACTCATTGCAGAGGTTGTCATGCAAACGTTAGAAGAAAATCTACTACCAGTCGTGAATCCGAAATTGTGGGTCAGATATGTTGACGACACGTTTGTCATACTCAAACGCAGCCAGTTGCAGACCGCACAAAGCCTGCTGAACGATGCAATGGACGGTATTCACTTTACTATGGAACCAGAAATGGAGAACAAACTACCTTTCTTAGATGTATTGGTTACTAGAGCAACGGACGGAGAACTACATACCTCTGTTTACAGGAAAGATACGCATACAGATCAAATATTAAATTTCAACAACAACCACCCAAAATGTCACAAAATCAGCTGCATCCGCACCTTGTTCCGTAGGATAGCATCACATTGTAATACTGCTGAAGCAAAACGCGAGGAAGAAAATCATTTGTTTACATCCTTCATGCGCAACGGATATCCACGCAGCTTCATCCGAAGATACATGAACCAGAAGAGTACAAACACCACACCTGAACCAACAACAACCAAACGGATCGCTTTACCATACATCAAGAACGTATCGGAACAGACTGCCAGACTCCTCAAGCCACACCATCTGTTAATGGCTCACATACCCACCAACACGCTGAAAGGAACCCTATCTAGACCGAAAGGGAAGACGAGTACACACGAACGCCGGAACCTCATTTACAAGATACTGTGTAAAAATTGTGATAAGAACTATGTGGGCCAAACGGGAAGAAAATTGTCTACAAGACTGCAAGAATACAAGCGAGCCTGTCGAAACCATTACCCATCATCCTTGGTTTCGACACACGTTGATGAAGAAGGGCACGCATTTGATTGGGAGAAAACAGAGATACTAGCGCAAGGAGAGACCAAAAAAGGAAGAGAATTCCTTGAAGCCTGGTTTTCTACAGTCAGTTCAATAAACCAACGCATCGATTTAGATCCGATATACAGGCAGCTGCGAGAAAATTTTTTACTTGCATCATCTGGCAAATGAATCGGAAGAGGCGGCGCCCACACTGGGAACAAGCAATGATCACGGGACCTGAATCGAACTGAGCAGGTTCAAATGTCACTCGCTCACCGGTAAGAATCGACAAAACAAATCAGTTTACTTATAACGCACTGAGGAATTCACCACGACTGGTGATGAAACGTCTGCAACGAAACTGTTCAGCTCGGAGAACAGAACAAAATCTGAGCAGATCACCCGAGCTACAAGTATTCCGATTTAGTACAAGACATTCTTCGAACTTTATTGGTGAAGGTGGACGTAGAAAAATAGGTAAAAATCAGACAAGTTGCAGTCGCGGTTATGACTGCACATATAAAATATCCCTGCAGAACAAGATTTATGCGTCTGCCAAGTTAAACAGTCGACATATTTGCATAGCAATAAGTGTTGCACTTTAAAACCTTTGGAATGAAGTGGCTTACTTAAAAGCATACTTTTCTCCCCCTGGTCGAAGCAGTTATGCAGTGATTTCCCTATACAATTCGCTTACAGAAATAATTACATTGAAGTTTCACGGGAAGAAGTCCACAGTCATCTGGTTAGAGTTCTCAGGACCATGTGTATTCGTGCTTTAGGATATAGGTGAAGACAGCAAAGTTTTAGGCACATGATTGCTACTGGATGTTATAAACATATCATGTTGCTATCTTTATTCCGTTTTAATAGCTTTCGGCGTTTATAAAATCATCAGCGCTACCCTCGATAGTTGCAGCCTACACGTTGATTATAAATAATCTGAGGTTCTGGCTATCCCATTTCAAGTTCATTGCGTGTACACGCCAGCACTGATACAGCAAATGGTTATGGGTTGCAATATTCTTGAAAAACTGCATAGCGTATTCAAGTACATCGTGCGTTGCACTTCTCTCCTACCAGACGCGAGAGCCGCTAGCATGTAGAGTAACTACATCTCGACCCATCGGAAGCTGTTTGCATACACAAAGTAAGACATCAACTGGTAGATTTAAGCCAAATTGTGTATGTGCTCTAATGTGCAATACCGTGTTGGACTAAGTAGCAGCAACTAGGCATTCCGAAAGAAGTGTCAGTAGATTTTTAGGCCTTAAAACTGCTGCTAGGAAATCAAGCAACTTCCAAGCGCATGTTTTTGGTCTGCCCAATCTTCGTTTCTAGCTCAGATCAATGGAGAATATAATAAAGTTTATTTGTTTTCTCGCCATTTGATCTGGCTGTGCCATAGGCCCACTAGACAACAACTTGGTAGTATTATTGCGACAGTTGACTATAGATAAAAACAACTTCGACAGTACGGAAGCCCATAGTAATGAGCAGTAGCGATTGACAAAGTGTAGTTGAATGCTTTAAAATATAGAATGTTTATAGATATTTGTATCATGGAACTCTGAAGCAAAATGCTTTTGACAACTAGTCGCACCCAACCATTCCTTAACTCATCAGTTGCGGTGAGAACAAAAAACATAAATGGCCTAAAGAGCAAGTGAAAAATAGACTTTTTGCAATTACTACTTGTCACCAGCGGTCAAATTAAATAATCATTCATGCAGCATGAACCAATGTGCATTCTTAAGGATAAGACTGACATTGCTTAAGGCTGAGGACAATTTGCACAGCTTGACATTACTGGTTTCATTGTGTATTGGCATATAGTGGTGCATGAAAATGTTGTACTAGAAATCAACTTGTTACCTAACCACTTTAATCCCGCTTGAAACTCACAGATTTCTGTTATTCTAATTTTCTATGATGGACGGGAAATTATACACTTTCTTGCCAGTTTACTCTCTGATTGCTCAAAATCATGCATAATGCATTTTTAATAAGCCTTTTCGCTTTTACGTATATTGGTGCAGAGAAGCCTACTAGGTCAAGCTGGTGGTTACGTGTAGAGTAAGTAGCTGAAGCTCCATCAAACACAATTTTGCGTCCAATATTGGAACGCATCACGGAAGATTTTATCACTTCCGAAATACCATTAAGCAACCAACTTCCAGCGATAGGACAAAGTTAAAGTATATATAATTCGGAAAAGTTCGTGTTTATTAGCTCCAATATCGTGCACATAGTAACACAAGGCAATGAGCCGGAACCACTGTGGTTCCCAACAATTTTGAGCTATACGCGACACGTGCATGGCGGAACCACTAAATTGCCTGTTGCCTTTTTCACAATAATATCCTTTCTAAAGCTTCTATAGCGGATGCAACGGTTTTCTGAGAATATTTTAAGATCCTTTTGCTTTAACTCTTTCCAAGGTCACCGTTGTTGTCCCTTGCTGATTTTTTGAGTATGCTTCAATGTATTGCGTATTGTACGCGATTCATAAGCAAGAAACATTCTGGTATATTGTGGATGTTCAGTCCCGGTTGGGATACTGGCCTTCGTGCTGCTCTATCAAAAAATGCAATTCGGATTTTTCTGTCCAGATAAATGTAATTGTTGCCTGCTGATATCGGACCGTTCATTTAATTAGCACCTGTACAAGGGGTTCGTTTTTCATTTCATGCACATTTACAACTATTCATGTAATTTTAACTCGTACTCCTCGACATTACAAAATGCTGAAAAGGTAACCATCTAAAGACTTGACTTGACTTGAAATACTGCAAGTGGGACAACCGCATCAACTATCGGAAATGGCTCTACACGGACCTCTTCAGTTACAGAGAAAAGAGTGAGAAAATTTGCATGGCGGTTTACAAGAAGTTAATAAGGAATAACTGTGTAACAAATACACTTACTTTCTTAGGTAAGTCTTCCGAAGCAAAGCACTTAGATTTTATAGACAATATGAACAAGAGAACAAAGCAACAATAAATTTATACGGTTAAAAGTCTAACAATATGACCAAAAAAATTTTTTTTTATACGGCCTTCAAATGGGAAGCGAACTTGTTATTCCTTTTATCGGACCTCATCTCAGCCCCTCGAAGAACTGAACGTAGGTATGGCTCCTCCATAAACATCCACTGATTGCAGAATTCACCCTTTCAGAAGTATAACGATGGTAAAGAGGAATCGCTATTTTTCGTCATTTACAGTGATTAACGTAACAAATATCGAGTGGGTTGCATCCAACCGTTCTATATAAATAATCTGACGATGCTTACTTACAGCAGTTTTAGCGTCCGTATAAGCGATGATTACTAGCGTAATGTAAGTCAACGACGGTAGCTGTGTGCCGAAGGTAAGAGAATCCTAGCTACAGCCGTGCAGCTTTAGCAAATCAAAATTTGTTAGTGGATAAATATCAGAGTTTGATGTTATAGGAAAGTCATCATTTGCAAATAAGAAATCACCTGGAGTTGGGATGCAGGTGAGTTCACAATCCTCTTGGGAAGCAAACGCATTCTCATTGGTAATGCAGTCTGACGTGGAGTGGCATTCCAATTCCACGAGATCAAAATACCAAGTTAGCTTTGGACCTATATTTTTGGATGATTGTAGATTTGATTTGTGGTTGCCCAGGCACTGTTGTATAATGGGGCTTTGATAACAAAATCCTGTGGGGTGGCAGCAAGAGTCATGGAAAACAGAAAAAAGTAAACCAGTTTTAATTAAAATACCAGTTCAGCTAAAGCGTTTTCTAAAACTGACATCTGGTTATGCAAACGATTAAGATGAATTTTACATCAGTTGTATCCTACCAAACAATCAAGGTTATAAAAATACTGAACTGATTAACGAGATGTCTATTAGCTTCAAAGCTTAAAATAAGCTTAGTAAAGTCATGGCAATAGATACAAGATAGTTATTTTAAACCAGAATTGTTAAATACCTTGTTTAACAGTAAGAAGGTGTAAGTTCCGAGCTTATACAATAATATTATAGGGGTATAATTCTAAAAGCGAACGCTCTACGCGGAATTATTTGGAGGCGTGCGGTGACATGTTACTCAAAAGCACTTTCTGGTTTGATTGGTTAGTACATCAAATAGGCTCAGCGCCTTGCCTCGCTTAGCGAAATCAGCCGTTTAACCTCTCCGTCAGCCCATGGTAAAATCACATATCCTGCTCTAGGGCATACGGAAGACTACTAGCAAGCGGTGAACTTCTGGAGAGCTGACCTTGGCAACAGAAAATCCAGCGATGCGTCTTATTGACCAGCCATTCGACAAGGTTCATGCCATTTTAGACTGATTCATGAAGAATTTTTATCAGCACTGTATTAAAAGCAAAAGTACATCTATGTAACCTTGACAAATAATCTGAAAAGGACCAGCAGATAGGCGGCTTACTTGCTTCGTATGTTCAGTTAAACATTCTGCTTCGAAAACACAAACTATTTTGGGCAGATACTTGTATATGAATGTACCGATTATTGGCCATCCGCAAAATGTCTAATCTATCTACAAATTGCCTTACCTGTTTGTCAACAGTTTAGTTGGTTGAGATTTTTATCCAGCCGACCTGAAGACAGATTAACTACACCTAATAGCCAAAGATGAGTCTAATAAGACCAATTCTGAGAAGCTTGCCACCGACGATATTATATAAACGCACAGACTGGGGATGTATGAAGATTCCTAGTGGGCTTGCGTTTTCAAGTAGATTGACCAGTTTTTAGTTGTGGTGTGTGACATACCTGCTGCTTAAGGAGTTAAGATGACCTTAGACGTTTTTAATAGCATTTGTAAAGCGTTGGAATCGAATGGTGAATAAGTTCAAAGGTAACGTAAGGAAGGAATGTTTTTATAAACGTTTCACTTGTAATTATCGAATGCGTAAAACGAGAAAATTAGGGATACAATATTAGTCGATTGAGGGAACACGCATCAGAGTCAATCATGCGATAGATCAAACAAGTCGTTTTGAATATTTTATTTACCTCCAAGGATTCACCATTTACTTGTGCATGTGCATGTTGGTTTCAGACCACAAGATCAATTTGATTTAGTGCACTGGTGACCTGTGGTTAATTAGTTAATCAAGTTTTATGGACACTGTTGCCGCTATGGTAGATTAAAGGCAACTGGCCGATTCTACGCGGTGGTAACAAATATGATAGTTATTTCGCTTTGACTGCTAACTCGTTCGTAGATAGTTTGGTTACACCAATTTTAGCAAACTGACTGAATGTCAATTACTTCCTTCTGGAGACAACTAGTTGTTTAAATAGCTACAGCACAATTCATGAATATCATATCATAATAAGAGAATTACTTGAGCAACTGCGCAGATACTCAATTTTAGTGACCCTTACTAAGGATACTGGAAACATGGTAATAAGCGACTAAATAAACAGAGCCAAAAGTAGTTCTTCTCCAGTGATATAGTTTCAGAGAAATATATATATATATATATTGTCAGCACGTGCAACACCATCGAATTCAAAAGTTTAGATTGGAAAAAGGGGGGTATCATGGAATCTTTTACTAGGAACTCCTGTCTTTGACGAAAAGGTCAAATATCAAAGCCGTATCAACTCACATTTTATGTGGACAAATGCAAAGTGATTTATCTACATCATTGCCCCAATAATATTACATAGGTGATGGAAAACCACATCCTGCGGACCGTCTCACAGAAGTCCCGACAGTTGTGTAGTGGTTTAGCTTGAACACAAAAAGTTGTGAAAGGGTCAAAAACTGGAATCAGCGAGTACACCTTGCAAAGGACTTTTTGGTGAATCACCCCTTCTTTCTTTCCACAAATACTTTTTGCGTGTGTAAGGCTGCATGGGGAGTACGCAATTCAAGCCTAACAGCTATGAATAAATCACAGTCTGGCTGTACTGTATATACCACAGGGTATAGCAACTAATAGCTTGAGGGTCTATTCAATCTGGAATAGTAAGTACGACTGAAAGCATTAACAGTGTAAAGTAAGAATTATCATTATCGACGAGCTGACATCGTCCTGACCAAATAGCTTTAAAATACCCCGTACATTTTGTCGTCTTCACCCGAAGCGGACCTTTAAACCAAGCCAGCTGGAATTCTGCCAGAAGTTCCTCTCGTTAGATATGATCAGCTTTGGAACTTCGTTCCGACTTATGTTATTGTACCCACGTAATCCATTAAAGAAATATATCAAGGATGCTTCAAAAAATCTGAATTACGTGATGTCTCACGTTCATCCGGCGACGACAAAACGCGAACACTCCCTTCATCGGCTCCAACGAAATCCGGATAGGAGGATTTATATGTGTGTTGACGTAAATATTTTGTTTAGTCCACAACTACGGTTTACCTCAAGTGCAAAAGTGTATGGCATACCGACTATTCCAGTGACTTACCAAGCACTAAGTTAGTTATCAATTTCATTAAACCATTATTTTATTTATAGGACTGCGAAAATCTGATAATTAACGAAAGGTACTGATATTCTCTACGGAATATGTCTTTTCCAATTTCACGTTGTGCGTCACAAGAGCAAATTATTATCACAGAATGTACTATTGCATGCAAGACTGCTGCAAGCAGAATGGCTCGTTTGAGTTAAACACTCAATCGAATACGCAAGCTTCATTATTTCAAGCATACATATGTCTTTATATATGTTATCCCAATCAATCCTAATAAATCGATTGTTTCTAATTCACATAGTATGAGGCAACAAAGGTCGAACGGTCATCAAACAGCACAAGGCACGCGAGAGGCTACATTTCTCCACAGTCTCCTGTGGAGGTTTTGTAGATAGTTGCACAACTTACAGTCATACACTGTCGTTTCGCAATGAAAGAAAAATACCAATTGCACCCGGGTTCTAATGCACATTGAGTAGGCCGGCCGAGTGTTTCATTAACAGAAGAAGTTATTGTCACTTAAAGGCGAGAAAGTTACTGTAGGTACTTTGTTCTACTTGCATACCATAGCTCGACTTAGTTCATTCTCCATTATCTTCACCCTCATTAGGTGCCAACTATTGGCATGGTCTTAGTGACGCGCTTCCTGCATTAACCGGCCAATCAAATAAATGCTTAATAGACAATCTTGAAGTAGCAGCACCAATTCTGACTGGAAGTAGAAGTTTGGCCAAACAATTCCCAGTGTGGTTTGATAGTGGAGCAATTTGTGGTTCAAATGAGGAAAATCAGTGATGCCTGCAGTCAACGCCACAAATGATATTTTTCCGAGATATCATTGGAATTTTTAGATTTTCAAATAATACGGTAGCAAGAACAAACACAAACACGAGAAATCATCAGCGTCCATGAAACAGATTATCAGTATGGGTATTGGGGTCATAAATACTAGCGCAAACCATCAATCTGTATACAACCTACTGGATCGGTTGTGTGGAATTAAGACAGAGCATCGCCCCTCATTATACAGACTGTGGGATAGGGTGCTGGGAAGTAAAGTAATCGAATACAGTGTCAGATCCATGTGATAGCTTGTTGCCAAAATCAGGATTTCACGAAATAAGTATTTGTTACAATTAAAGGGTCATTAGCTGTGTGACTGAAACTCATTTACTCGGCAGTGTATCCATTACTTTTGATAGGTAAGCTTCATTCGCTTCTAAGTAATATCCTGATTAGCACACTGCTTGCAACTTCTTATAGTTATACAACCTGGACACGTCTTTAAGGCTTGTCCCAAACAGGAAAGACGTTTTCTGTCCGAGAAAACAAGCAAACCGCCTCTGAAGTTGTTAGTATGTATATTCTGATCAATTTGACACCATTCTTGAGAGCTGTTTACTGAGTTTTCATATATTGTTTGTTGTATTAAGTCCTTGTTTGACTTGACAACGCTCATGCCTACGTTTTTTGATACCCGTGGGAAGCTCCTTAGCTGTTTCTATCAGTAGTAGCAGGCGCTAGTCAATCTTATTGGCTATGGGTTACGTATACTTCTCTTGAGTGCTTTGTAAAATAATTTTGAACGTGTTCCAATTAGATGTGCGAAAGAGCGAGGATGATCCATAAGCGCTACTAGTAAGCTCATGCACACTTGAACCAAAGTGTACATCTTGCGTTTTATCCCTGGATGTATTTAACCGGTTGCAGCAGTTTGAACTGGTGCCAAAGAGCCTATGTATCACCATGGTTTACACGTTGGTCAGATTTGCAAAATCAGTCCCCGCACCATTTTACTACGCCGTCTATTCCATGAAAGTTCGATATATTCAGTTTCCACAACAGCTACCTAATATCTATGAGAGAGACCAGCGTAACGGCTAAACAATTTTTGAGGCTTTTCTTAGCCATGTACCAGGTCCAAAGTGACTCTAATCCTATATGTAACTACCTCCAAAATTTTAGCTTAGACTAATAGCCGAAGACGGCTTAGCTCTGTCCAACAGAGTGCGAATCTAATGATGTTGAAAACTGCTTTTCCAAAGCTCTGTAGGTTCGGTTGCACAGGACGTAACATTTCTACCTGTTGCGCCGCATGCTGCTAATTCTCTTTCATTTTTGCATGCCCCATTCATTTAATCAGCGCTGCTGTAGCAAGTGCTCCAATTGCAAATCAGTGCATATCTTCGAAATATAGTCCAGAAAATTTCATTTAACTCTTGGTATTACTTCTAACATTCGCGGTGCGAGAAAATAG